CTGTAGGATAAGGAAAAAATGTCAGGCTTTTCTGCCCTCCCGCCATCAGGATAGATGATGGATCCTTGAGGTCCTGAATGCATGCCTGATGGCAGACACCTGGAATAGAGTGTGGGCAGATGTAGCTAGGATTCATTGGTTAAGGCTGGGCCTTTAAGGGCAGCGTCATGAGGACGCCAGTAGAAGCCGAAGAAGAGAAGCAGAGAGAACGCCAGAGAGCCCAGATAGAGTAAAGATTTGCTGGGGGCTGGGAGGACTGCCAACCTCCCGGCCCCCAGCACCCCTGCCTGCCATGTACCCACTAAATCCCAATAAAAGACCTGCAAAAAACCACTGAGGGCTCGGACTCCTCCTTTATCTGGTCTGCTGGATCAGAAAACCTGCACTGTGTCCTTCCTGCCCCTACAAAAGTATAATACATGGAACAATTCAACAGGAATATATAAAAAGTTTAAGCTGGCATGTCTCTAATAACAACCTCAAAATATATAAAACAAAGATTCACAAATATATAAAGTTGACAGATCCACAATTATGGGAGAGATTTTTAATACCTTTCTGTTATAAGTGATGGGACAAAATATGAATAAGCATATAGAAATACACAAATAATTAAGGACCATAGAGTAGAAGTCTATACCCAACAATTAGTGAACAGCTTTCTTCTCAAGGATACATGAGCATTTCGAAAAATTGACCATGTAGCTGATTATATATAACAAGACTCAACACAAACAGAAGAATCTATTTTGTTTAGACTAGTCTTTGGGTAGGTAGAAATCATTTCCACCCATCCAGTTGATAACAGAGCCTTTCAACTTTGCCTTTCTAATTAGTCTTCCAAAATCCTCTCATTTTCCATTCCCACTGTTGTTGCCTTAATGCAGACTCAACAGTTTCTCTCACCTGGGCTGCTGAAGCAGGTGCAGGGGTCTCTCTCCTCAAGCACAGCTCCCTTGGTTGACCCTGCTGCTAGTGATCTTTCTAACACGTGAATCTTCTCATCACTCTCCTGCTGAAGATCTCTGACTGGGTCAGTAGTTCCCTGATGTCAGGATAAAACCCAGACTCTACCATGGCCTATAAGGCTTTCATCATCTAGTTGCCTTGTAACCTTGTTACCTTTTTTTTCTTATTGGTCTTTTTTCTTGTAGTCCCCCCCACACTCCCACTCACCTAGCAGCTTTCTCTCCCTCTCCCTTTCTCCACCCTTCCACTGAGACCTGGCTAAGTCATGCCTTCAGATATTCATCTCAGATAGTTCCTCTTCCAGAAAACCTATTTGGATACATCCCCAACCCAACCTCCCTACTTTTCTTCCACACCACGCACATCTTTTTAGATTAGCTGAATCCCAAGGACTCCCATAGCAGCAGTTCATCTACTTCATTCCAGTGCTGGGTGTAATTGCCTTGTCTGTTCCCTGATTAAACCCATTCCTCTGGGGTAAAGACAAGACCTTTCCATGTCCTGTAGCTCTCTCTGAGGGCCAGTGCTGGCTTCCTCCTTGCATTGTCTCCCACCACACTTTCTGTCCATACTGGTCTTCCATTTTCTCTTACATTGACCTCCGTTCATTATGTAGTCCCTCCATTGGAGTCTCATTCCCAAGGGCCCTGTGCTCACTGAAAACATGCTCTGCGCTCCCCGCCAACCTAGGACCTTTGCTTATGCCGGTTGCTTTTGCAGCCCTATCCCTTTACCCCATTCACCTGGTTAACTTCTACTTTTCCTTCAATTTTTAGTGCAATAATCAATTCCTCAAGGAAGCCTTTCCTGACCTCCTTTAACCGGGCCAGGTTCCCCAGTTTTTGTGGGTCCATTTCACATTTCTTCAGAGCTCCTACTTCAGTTTTTAATTGCACATTCATTCTTGTGATTATTAAATTAATGTCTCTTCATGATTGGGCTGTCAGCTTGATGATAGTACAAACTCTAATATATCTCGGTCACCATGGTATCCTAGTGCCTGGCAGAATGCCTGGCACCTAATGGGCACTTGATAAATATTTGTTGAATGAGTGAATGAATATAATTTAGCTATGTTTACTTGACTGTCTCCTTCATTAGCCTCTGAGGCCCTGGGACTGAAACTATGTGTTTTCTTTCAAGGCCCAAACTTAGCAAATGCCTGTAGATAATCACTGTCCTGTACATGTTTGTTGATTGAATACCAGGCTTGTCAGTTCTCAGGAGCCTCTGGTAGAAACATGTTATCAGGAACCCTAATTAGAAGGCGGTGCCCTAGAGGTATTAACAGAGAAGCTAAGCCAGGAGCCTAAATGTATTTTAATTGGGTTCAAATTAGGCCAGAACCTCCTACCCTTGATTAAAAGCAGACCTAAACCTCATTCTCATGTTGTAGAAGAGCCTTACTTCTTCAAAAGCAATATTATAAAAATTAAGGATCTCAAAGAAAGGGATCATACATTTTGGGCTAAAGTCTGACTTCCTTATCTGGCCAAGATAAAGTTTGTAGGGCCTGGAAAAAAAATTCTAGGTTTTGTTATTTCTGCCAGGGAGTGTCAGATTGGCAGAGACCCATCTCACATCCTCTGGTGAAGGAAAGTTTGCCTGAAGAAAGGGAGACAGTGTGTTCTCTCTCTCTTTTCCTCTTCTCCACCCTCAGTGATCTGTACCAGGCCTGAGGTAGGATTGTAACATGGCTGATTGTCCAGGGTTGGCATGTCAGCATACTGCTCCCCAGCCAGTCTCATCCATGAGCTGAAATACCATCTTCCAATATTGGCAATAAACTGTGGATGTGTCTATGGGGTGGGTGTGCAGAAGACAGCTCCTACAAGGTTTCGAAAGCAATTATTAAATAGTGAAGAATTTTGCAAGCCAGTTGTTACGCCATTAGTAGCTTGCAGTCAACCCTGGTTAGAATATTTACACAACAGAAATTGGCAAATGCTTTAAGTTCAGGCTTTTTTTTTCTCTTTTCTCCTTCCTTCCTAACAATTACTTTACCAGTACACTACTAGATGTGAATTTGAATCCTGACTGACACTAGCCAATTATCCCTTCTTACAGGGCCTCAGTTTCCTCATTTGTGGCATGGGACTCCATAATGTAGCTGTTGCACAGTCTAATTGTAAGTGTGACATGATACATACAAAGTGCTGAGCCTGGCAATTGAACATTTGCAAGCATTCAGTAGATGTTAGCTGGATTATCATGGTCCATGTGTCTTGTTTAGTTTTACCAAATATCTGTACTATTGATTTAGGATTGAAAAAACTTGATTTTAAACATTTATTAGTATTTTAGCAACATTTTAAAAAACATTTTCTAAGTGACAGGCTAGAATTTTTCTTTACCAGCAATGAAGCCCTCTTCTTGTTTGCTCAGGTGCTGAAGGTGATGAATGTCCTAGCGAGTAGTCCTCAGTGCAGCACAGAGTTTGTGTATGTTCCTGTCCCAGTGACAGAGAACCTCTGGGTCTCATCATTCTCCTCTCCCATTCTTTAATTTAAGAGACTTCTAAAGAATCTACAAGTCACTGAGAATAAACTGCCCTCTGACTTTCACAATCAAATATTATTTGGCAGAGATTAAAATGTCATATATTCTAGATGTCAACCACTTCTGCTCAGCACCTGCCATTGGCATAATGTTGCAGTTATACTGAAAACTTAAAGAAAGAAAAATGAAAGGGGTGGGGAGACCTGAAATCCTTGATCTGCCTTATGAAATGCAAAAGAGACTAATAACTAGAAGTTCTTCATAACTCAAATTGTGAAAAAATTTGACCCAGAGTATCCTGAGACTATTGTAACTATTTTTTTTACTACTTTATGTTAACATTTATATAATCTGGTGCAGAATTAGCAATGTGCTTGATTATAGGATGTTATGCCAGATCACAGTGAATTCATTCCATACTATACAACATAGGCACCATATTACCTTTCAAAAACTGCTAAAATTTCTGAATTCTGGAATGTTTCTAGCTCCAAGACTTTTCAGTTAAGGGATTATGGACCTGTAGTAGAAATCACAGTATCTGCCTTTAAAGAGGTTGCAATCTGGCCATGACTCATCAAGTCATGTTTCAGATACAAGGGACATAGTGTAGCTGGCAGCAAGAGGGACGTCTAATCTAATCCAGCCCTTGCTCTCACACTCCTTGTAGAAGAGTAGAAAATATAAGCAGACACACACATCTCCACGGATCTCCTCCAATATTCTTTATTTCTTCCCTTGAGTCTGGATCTTTAATTCTTTGCAGTCTGGCTTTTCCACCCCCAAAACTCTGCCCTGCAAAGAGCATCATTCAATTGCAGGTCAGGAATTCTTTAAAGTATTTAACAAAAACAGCCTCTACTCCAAGAGGAAAACCAGAGCATTCCCTGTGCTTGGTGGGTCCCAGTTCTGTCTGAACTTTAATGGTACACCTCGGTCCAGAGCATCCTGCAGGCTCTTGGCCATCCTGAAGACCTGCACACATCTTAAGCGGAAATCTCTTTCCTGCACACTGATGCTTTAAAGCCTGGGGCTTCAAGCCAAATGCAAAGTGGTTCTGCAGGAGCTCTGGCCGCCCTTGCCTACTTCCTCTAACCTCCTCTTACTGATGTGTCTCCAAAAATCTTTTGCATCTGTTATGCAAGTTACAATCTCCAGAAGTAGCTCAGCAAGGACATTCCTTTCCCAAAGTCAGCAGACCTTTCACAATCATAGGAAGATGGTCTGTTTGCTGGGTTTCTTTTTTTCTTCTCTCCTGACCTAGAAATTTTGGCTTCTCCAAACTCAGTCTTTTGAAGTATGAATTTGTTATCTCTTTGGAAATGCTGAAAAGCTTGCCCTACCATGTTTCCCAATAGCTTGCTTGGACATACGTACAAATAATAAAATATGTGCATAAATAAGAAAATAGTGACCTCTTCCTGAACATTTACTAGGTACCAGGTACAGGCATAAGCTTTACATATAGTAACTAATATGCCAAAAAATCTAGGGATTGCTTTCTTTCTTCTTCTTCTTCTTCTTCTTTTTTTTTTTATAGACTGGGAAGTAAATGAATAGAGTAATATTTTCTGTGCAATCGTCTACTCTATGTCCTAAAGTTGAATTAACAGAACAGGGAAGTTGCCCTGATGGCACTCAAAACTTGGCTTGCTTGCCTGCTTGCTTGCTTGCTTGCTTGCTTGCTTTCTTGCTTCCTTCCTTCCTTCCTTCCTTTCTTTTTTTAAAAGATTTATTTATTTATGCATACAAGAACTGGGGTACAGGCCAGAGGTGTGGGGATAAGTGATTCACCAGAGACAGAGTGGGGAACAGAACAGGCAGAGTGACTGAAATACACTGCTGAGGGGAGCAGCAGGCGAGACAGGAGAGGTCTGCTGCACCATGTGGGTAGCTCCCTGGCCTGGGATCAAACTCATGCTGCTGTGGCTGTGGATAGCTTCATAGGTTGCGTATTAACCCCTTGCGCCACTAGGGGGACCCAAAACTTGGGTTTCTTATCCCCATTTTGCAGCTAAGAAGTCTCAGAGAGTGTAAATAATTTGTGTAAGGCCACACAGCTAAATAAATGTTAGTGCCAAGATCTGAAGGTAAGGTTTTTTGACTCCAAGGGTCCATGATTTTAATTGCTAATAAGATGTGGGAAATAGAATAAAATACTCTCTGGACTGAGTGAGCTCTAGCTTCTCTTCTTTTGATCCTAGCAGTTGCCATAACATGCTGCCTCCATTGACGGTGTTCTAAAAGAGGTATTGGTTTCCATGGAATGGAGTCTTTCCCCTCTTGACTCAGAACTGTCCCTGAGGTACCAACAGCCCCCACAGCGCCTTCCTGATTGTCATTCTGATACATTCCCCCAAGTTGACCCGTGTCAGTCAAGCCCACCTTGGCCTTTGTCAGTAGGGTCATTTGCTGTTGCTTATCAAGGGCCAGGACGAGGCCACAGACTAACCATGTGGATGGTCCTGTTTCAGCCTGGCTTGGAAACACCATGAAAAGAAGTTCTCCCAACCCCAAAGTCAAACCCCTCAGTTTTGGTTTCTGCATTGTCATTAACTACTCCATGACCAAGCAAGTCATTTAACCTTTCTGAACCTCAGCTGCCTCCTTTGTAAAATGAAACTGATAAAAGTACTACTTTTGTTGGGTCCTGAGGAGAGATAGGCAAGGCCTGGGAGAGGCCTTTCATGTAGTGAGTGCCTAGGAAACAGGAGGTATTATCATTGCTAATAAGACTGAAGTTTTATGTGCTGATCATATTTTCACAGCACTCGGGGTTTCACAAAGCTTTTTATGTGAGTAAACCAGCATCGCTGGGTGTCCAAGACTACACGAGGCACTTTAGAAGCATTTTATATTTGCTCTCCCTTCTATTATATGGGGTAGACAAGTACTTCTCCCTTTTTCTGTAGCCAAGATAATGGTGATACGGAAGCTGTACAGCTTATTAGTAGAGCAAATTTGTGGCTTCGCCAGGAATAAAACCTTCAGCCCCAAGACCTCAGTTCATTATGCTGCCCCTCTGTTGGAATCTCATTTCCAAGGGCCCCTTGCTCACTGAAAACATTAAAAAATAAAAAGAACAAAACTCACATTTCTGCCAGACAGATGATATTCAGGCGTCTCTGGAAGAATCGTTAGCAATCCGGCGTGCGGTTTTGTGTTTTAAGGTGCTTGGATACGAAGGAGGAATGTAAACCCCACGAGCCTGTTTCACATGTCATAGTCTATTCTGGATCTTGAAAGTGGGCCACGGAGGCCCCAGCTATGCCCCAACAGCTACATTCTTGCCGAGGCATCCAGCACCATGCAGGAAGCTGGTGGGGGGTTGGGGAGAGCAGGACCTGGGACTTGTAAAGGGACCCAGTGGGTGTTGTGGCCAAAGGGCAGGAAGAAAATAATCACCTGCCTAGTGCCAGCCTTCTAAGATGTAGTGTTTGCAGAGCCTACATTAAGAGAGTATAAAATTTGTTTCCTTTTGCATTACTTCTTTTTAAGGACTTTGGCTATTTTTAGAGGTCCTATTTACTTGCCAACTTGCTTTGATCCCGCATGAAATGTCCCATTTGCACTGTATGTCTGCAGGCCCTGAGTCCTGTGACCATATTATTGATTTTCCACACACAGGCCCCCATACAACCTAGCACTTTGCAGGATGCAGGTAGGTTTTATGGGATGAAGATGAAACAGGAGATCATCACTAACGACCCTGGGGAAAAATATTGGTGTTTGACAAGGGGTGAGAGTTTGGAAGTGAGTTGAAGTTTTGTATCTAAGAAACTAAGCTAAGAGATAAGCCTGCCCCTGGTATCCAGCATCTCCAAAAAGGTGCACATTGCAGTTGAGATGCCATTTATCAGGAAAATCACAAGGCTGGTAGGTACTGGTAATCATGACAGTTCTCACATCTGTCAAACGTGGCCTCTTGTGGGAGTTTTCTTTAATTTTGGCAGGTAGCTCAAAGTATGGCTTGTTTTCATCCTTTCAACTCCTTTCATATTTTCTCCTTGCTTATTTCTTTTTTTCTAACTGACCTTTCAAAGCCATTTATATCAACTGCTGTCCACTGCTTCTCTCTCATGTTTTGGTGATCAAAGCACTACTCTGTTGGGTGGGGTTTGAAAAATAGAGACTGTCTATGTTATTGGCCCATGAAAGCAGATTAGGCAACATGAGGTAGGAGAGACGTCAGAGCAATTTCTCTGGCCTGCCATATTTTTGCACATAATTCCTCTCAACTTTCACAGATCCTGCATTCCTTGGCTCCTCCCTGGCATTGTCAGGTTCAAGGGGCTCTTCTGGAATTTCATAAAGCTGGTCATTGAGATGGGCCCTTGGGGTGGAGCAGACAGAAGACAGAACATTTTCATGATACTATATTCTTAAACCTTTGATGGTGTGAATAGCTTTTCCATAGATCTATTCATATAGAAAAGTAAAGAGGTGTTGCTTTTCAAAACTGTCCTCATTAAGTGGTCATTAAGTGGTCATTAAGTTGTAAAATTCTTAAGTCTCTGGAGAGTTTGATTTGCCAAAATTCTTATCAACACAGCATTTTCAGCAGCATGACTATTACGCCAAGAAAGGCATCTACTCCCATTATCTCCACCCTCTCTAGGAGAGCGCCCCATACTTCTCTGTCCTCTATCTCAGACCCAAATGTGTTTTCTGCACAACTTTTATGATCATTTATTATTGTATGTGTTTCTATCAGATAATAGAAAATATTGGTCTCTGCCCTAGTTCCTTGTAATTTTCTGAGTGGTAGGAGTGTTTTTTGTGCTAATGAAATGACTCTGAAAGACACTTGATGAGGGCTGGTCATGGAAAGAACAAGCCATGATTAGGAATTTTTAGCGCCCCCCCCCCATTTTCTTGAGAAGGGATAGTGATTGAAATGGAGTTAATGGTCAATCATGCCTACCATAATGAAGCCTCCATAAAAATCCCAAAAGTACTGGGTTCAGAGAACTTCTGAGCTGATGAACTCATAGAGGTGTGGGGATGGTGGCACACCTGGAGAGAACTGGAACCTTCGCGCCCCTTCTCACAGACCTTACAGTAGGCATCTCTTCCATCCATACCCTCTGTAGTAACCTTTCATACTCTATATCTTACATTCTTTTTATAATAAACTGCTTTCCTGAGTTCTGTGATCAGCTCTAGCATATTTATTGAGCCTGAGGAGGGGTCTGGTTTATAGCTGATCAGTATCTGGGGGAGGGCAGCTTGTGGGTCTCAACCCTTAACCACTATCTCTGGATAGGACAGATCAGAATTGAGTTAAATTGTAGGATACTGAGGTGGTGCCACAGAATTTCATCTTTGTGTGTGGGGAAAAAATCCACGCATTTGGTAACCAGTAATGTCAGAAGTATTCTGTGTAGGTAGTAAAGGAGACATGTGGGGGAATACTGAGTTGTACTAACTCAATTTACTTACTTGTTACTGTTTTACCGCAGAGTGCACACTTATGAATGGGGGCGGGTGTGTGTGTACACACACGTAAGCCTCCTGCGGGGCCAGATCAGGTTTGTTTTGCTCACATGATATTGTCAGCACCTAGATCAATTCCTGACACATACTAATTGCTCAATAAATATTTGAGGATGAATGAATTCAATAAATATCTTCTCAAAAGAGCTGTTGGGTTTTAAAAAACTCAACTTTTCAAAAAATAATTGATGTGGAAAGTGATGTTTAAGGTTAGTATCCCTTTTCTGCTGATCCTTTGGAGTGTGGTGAATAGCATTTATCAGAGAATAGTATTTGCCAAGGAGCTGGAATCATTGATTTTCTATATAAGATCTCTAAGGACTAAATCAAGGCCTGATAATTTTTCTTCTCTCATTTTTCCTTCTTTCTCTTTTCTTTTTCCTATATTAATAAATACCAGTCAGGGAATGACAGGCCTGGTAAATAGGGGTAATGCTATGCTTAGCCACAGGATAGTTGTAACGATTAAATGAGACCATTGTGTTTAACAACTTTTTGGCAAAGTACCCTAAATAGTAAAACCTGATAAATGTTAGCCATTCACTTATCATTAGAAATACTTACGGAACAGCTCTTAGATACCTTTTGTCTCAGTCTTCAGATTAAAGAGGAAGTATACCATCTATACTTTACGGGAAGAAGATGGAACAAGGGACCATCACCAAAGATCCGAGGGAAAAAAGACTGGTATTTGACTAGGGGTGAGAGTAACAAGGGTATAGAGAGTAACAAGGGTAAACCCAGTAAAAAGTAAATAAACTGAGTTAGAACAACTCAGTATTCCCCTACGTGTCTCCTTTACTACCCACACAGGGGCCATGTGATGGCTTATGTCATTAGTTTGACTTCCCTGATAACTACTTCAGAGTCAAGGGTTATATGGCGACTTCTTTGTTTTACAGGTGGTCTTTTCCAGATAACTACCTTCATGCAAATTATTCCTTTTCAAGTAGTGCTCTTCCCCAATACTGGCTGGTTCTTATGCACCTTTCAAATGGGAGCTGAAGTGCCTCTCCTCAGGGGTCTTCCCTTCTCGCCATCTAAGTTCTGTCCCTTTTCTTTCTCTATAATTCTCCTTTGTTGCCTTGTTATTTTCCTTCCTGACACGTCCCATCATTTGTAATTAATTATATATCCACCCACTTGGCTGTCTT